TTCCTGCTCCCTCCCCAAGAGCCCCGCCCCGAGCCCACTCCGTGCCTGCCTTGGCAAGGCGGGCCCCTGCCCAGCGTCTGCTGGAATGAGAAGCACAGACTCTGCAACGGACTAGATTTTCCTCCTCCCCCCGCCCCGATTCCCTACCGGCCAGGCCGGGCTGCCCCCTGCCACCCTCGCTGGCCATTTTCGGGTCGCGAGGGGGCGTGGTTGTTTCTTGTGGTTGTGTGTGTTTGTTGTTCGGGTTTAAAAAAAAAAAGGGAAATTGAGACTGCAAGTGGGGGAGGTGGTGGGTTTGGGGGGTCTCCCCCAATCCAGGCGTGTCCCCCCTTGTAAACGAGTCTCCTTTATTGCCTGCCTCTGCTGTGAATTAACTTGTTCCGTGTATTAAACTGGGCCTGACCCCTCTGCCCACGTCGTCTGCCTCGTTCTCCAGGCTGGTTTGGGGCATCACCAAGAAGGGGAGTTGGGGCCTCACTGGGGGAGAAGCAACCGAGGTTAACAGCTGGAGCTGGCCCTACGTCCATCTCCCTCCAGCTCCCCTCTGCACCCCGCCTTTCTCTGGCTTTGTCCCAGCTCCTCCCTGCCTCGCTGGAAAGGAGAAGGGGGGGGATGGGGTGGAGGGGGCTCCCACCCAGCCAGCTGTGGTTGCCCTGGCAACGGACTGCTGCAGCTGCAACGGGGAAGCAGTGAGGAGGGAGGCGGGAAGCTGGGGACTGGGGGAAGGGAAGGGATGGGAAGATGAAGACTGGGGGCTGGCCCCTCCCCTCGGGGCCGTGGTAGGGATCAGGGGTGCCAGGGGCGCCTCACCCTACACCCAGACATCACCTGGAGCTCCCTATCCCGATGTGGGGCAAAGAACAGAGGGGAACGGGCAATGGGATATAGATCCAGGGACATTAGGAGGAAGACAGATTTGGGTGAGGTGAGGTGAGGAGTGAGAACCAGGACACAAGAACAGTCAGGATAGGAGTCACACATTTATAGAGAATGAGAAAAAGAGCAGGAGAGGGAAGACGTAGACCTGGAGAGAGGTGTAGATGAAGAGGGCCAGAGGAATTATGGTGGAAGAGGACAGAAGAGATGATTTAGTGGGAGAGAGGCAATAATAGTAATAAAAACCAGCAGACACATGGGGAGAGACAGAGGAGGAAGTACAGGGATCTGGAGAGAGAAGCAGAGATTCCATGTGGGGAGGCAGGGAACCAGGGCACGTAAAATAGGAGAGCAGAAGAGAGAATAAGGGGGGAGGCACATTTGGGGAGAGAGATGAAGTTAGGACCCAGCACAGGCGAAGTCCTAGGACAATGACGGAGATGAGATTTCAGGGGAGAGGACACAAAGAATTTAGGGAGACAATAGAAAGATCTGGAGGGAGCCAAAAGCAGGAAGGGATTCAGAGCCTGGGTGAGGGGAGAGCCAGAGGCGGGGTGGGAGGCAGAGGAGACTGGCGGAGGGTCGAGGAGGGCGCCGGGGCCGGCGAGAAGGGGACAGGCAGAGGAAGTGGAAAACTGGGGCAAGATGGGGAAGGGACGAGCAGGGCACAGTTCAGGCGAGAGCGCAGGCTGGCGTGTGAGTTGTGGGGTGTTGGAAGTTGGTGTGTGTCACAGGCGCCAGGAGAGGATGTGAGAACAGCTTGTTCCGCCGTTTCCGTGCTGGAGGGGGGAGGGCAGCATGGGTTGAGGATGGGGCCTCAGGGAGGGCGGAGACAGGGAGAGTGTCTGGAACACTCTAGAATTTTTAGGAGATGTGGAAATAGCTGGTCCACCTCCTCTGGAAAAAAGGATATATAACCGTTTCGGAAAAAGATTTGTTGTGTGTGGGGGGCGGGTGTGTGTGTGCGGGAGAGTCTAGGTTACAGAAGCATCAGGTTTGAGCGCGGAAACAGTGAACTCCATCACAGGTAAATGTCTAGGTGGGCCAGAAAGCCCCAGCCGTGGGGCCAGCGCTGTCAAGAGAAGGGGCTGCTTCTCAGATCCAGGTGGAGCTGGACCCAGACTTCCCACCAGAAGCCGGACCTTGGGATTCTCACGTGAAATTTCGAGATCTGGAAAATAAGTTTGACCCTGATCCCCGGGTCAAACTGCGAAAGTGTTTCGCCAGGGCAGCTGCAGATCTGGGCCCAGGAGTTTAAGACCGCTCCCAGCTAGGAGAGCCCCTAGGCCCGGGGCTGAGGTCCCCGGCTGTGTCGGTATCTTTCCAAGACACCTCCACCTCTCCCCGAGCCCCCGCGGCCTGGAAGCAGGGGCTGCTCTTCACTCCAAACCACCGACTAGCTGACTGGCAGAGGGAGGCCTACTCCCACCAAGGGCGGGTGTGGTGCCAATGAGCTGGCACCAGCAGGGTGTGGCCTGGGGCGACAGCCCCACTCAAGGAGGCAGGGCCCCCTCAGTTCCAAGTCTTGCTGCAGAGGACAGAGTTACCAAGCTCGAAATCCAGCTTTCTTTCTGTGCCATCTCCAGATTTTAAAAAGTTGACCATTAATTTAAAAACCAACACAACTCCATGGGCCGGGTCTGGCTTTTAGGCCTCAAGTATATGAATTCTGAGGTAAAACCTTCCTCTTTCTAACTTAAGAATTTCTTACATTCGGGGGAACTCCCCGGCGGTGCAGTGGTTAGGACTCCATGCTCTCACTAAATTTCTCATATTCTGAGTGTTGGATTTCTGTCACTTGGGTTTCAAGAAAAAGAGAATGGTGCTCCCTGGTTCTTAGGGGTGTGTGCGTGCATCGGGGGGGTGACGGCGTTCGGGACAAGGGGGACAGGAGGAGGGGGCTGACGCTGGATCACACCCGCTTCTCAGGGAGTCCAGGCAGCTGCTCAGCTAGCGAACACACAAGCCACTTCTATGAAACATTTATTTCCTTTAAAACCTCCAGAAACATGCCAGAAAATCTCAAGACAGGGATGGGGCTGGGGGGTGGGGGGAGATAATAAAGAATAAAAAAATCCAAATGAAACAAATCAACATAAAAAAAAAAAAAACCCTGCTGCTATCTTCAGCCATCAGATAGAACACCAAACTCAAATTGAATGTGCTTTGCAGAGATCCTTTAGAAATAACAGACAACAAAACCCAAAATCATAATTTACACTTGTCGATGTACATGATTAGGTCCCCAGAATGATTCAAATGATCTGAAGATATGAGGAGACAACTTAAAAAAACAAACAAAAACGGGTGGGAGAGGGGTGAGCCCCAGGTTAGGGTCTGAGGAAAGGGTGGGGTGGTAAGTGGTCCTGGAGAACCCTCCCCAAAAGGGACCCGGGAAGAGGGGCAGAGACATCACAGTAGCTGGCCAGGGCTGAGGACCCGGCAGGCGCCCCTCGCAAACCACAGGTGAGGGAGAGATGGCAGACCTGAAGGCCTTTCTCGCGGGACTGCAGTGCTGCCGAGGGGCCAGAGGTTGATGGCAGGGAGGCACGACAAGGGTCCTTTTCTCTTGCTCCTTCAACGTCTGTGTCCTGTGTGGTCGGTCCCCAGAGCCTCCTTCCCTGAGGTTTCTGGCCCCAGAGGAGGCGGCGGGGTCTCCGGACGGGACTGGACCGCCCGGTGCTGGCCCCCAGCCGGAGCATGCTGCTCTCAGCTGGGCCCCCTGGCCTGCCTGCCCACCCTGCTTTCGCCCCCAGCCCACGGGCGACGCGCCTCGATCCTCAGCTGGAGGTTGGGGGAATCCACAGACTGTGGCCGTACAGACTTGTTCTGGCGCAACTCCACATGAAAAAATAAATATATATATATATATTTTTTTTGTTTGTTTGTTTTTAAAGGAAAAAAAGAAACTGTTTCCTGGGTGAACAGCGTAGTACCACACCGGCCTGGCTGCCTGGCCAGCTGCCCCTTATTGCCTCGAGAGAACCAGCGTCTTGTGGGGTTAGCACAGCAAGGCGCTCCCCGGGGAGCACAGTGACGGTGTCCGACGTTGCTGCTGCTACTGCGGGGCCTACGAGATGGGCCGAGGGGCTTTGCAAAGGGAAACAAAAGCGGAGAGGAGAGGGAGGCTGCCTCCCTCCAGGCCGGACCTGAAGGCTCCGTGGAGCCCCTCCGGGTGCCCGGGAGGGGCCAGGGCTGATGAAGCTGGGGAGGAGGAGGGGTGGGCTGTGCCGGCTCCGCCGCTGGGCCTGGCCGGGTCAGCAGCTCGCAGGCGGAGGGCCCCAGGTGCTGTGGCCTCTGGCAGTCAAGGGACTGGTAGACAAAGACTGGAGAAATGGTCCCGAGTGTGCAAATACCTTCCCCCTCAAAGAAGTTAACTGGATGCTGGGGTTTCCTCGCTCCACCCTGGGACCCCCCCAAGACAATAAATGAAACTCTAAGAAAGTGCTCCTGGTTGCTTTTTGGAGGATAGGGTAGGGAGGGGGCAATGTCCATGCTTTCTGGAGCCAGTGCACCAGGGACCAAGAGCCCTGGCCCACTTCCACGCCGGCCCGCACCTCTCCTGGCGTGAGGGGAGGGCGGGATGGTTTCCCGCCGTGATTTCTCAGGCAGGGGTCTTGGCCCCATAAGCCCAGACGCTGCTGTACGTGGCGAAGAAACCCAGTTCGGGAGTTCCTGGAGCTGTGGGGTTTGGAGACTCACTCCTGCCCTCCACTCCCTTCCTACAGCTTCCAA